AATATCTCTTTGGATTTGAGACTTTAGTCTTTGCAACTTTACAGATCTTCTTTATGCACCAAGAGCTTGTAACACAACAAAGAGAAAGGAAAACGTGAAATCGCATCTGTCATTAATGTTAATCAAAGAACAAAAGAAAATCATTCACTGATCTTGACTGAATATATTTAATAACTTTAATTGCTTAATCTATATTTTATTTATATTTTTATTTATAAAAGAAAGCTATGCAGTGTTTTTTTAAACTTTTAATTACAGTTTCTGTACCTGAAATTTTGTTCAGTTGTATTTATTTATGATACTGCTAATTGATTTGTTTGTTCCTATCTTATTACTGACTGTTTATTTGTCTTTAACACTTTAATATTTATATTAATCTAGTTGTTTTTGCTGTGGCATTGTTTTTTAAAGCATAGGCAAAATTCCTCTTTGCTCGTGTTATTCAGCTGCAACAGAATGCTTTGTAAAAAGACAGAATAAATGTTTGACATCTAAATGTTTGACTTAATTTTTTTTATATTGGATTTTTTATCTTATTGGAATCGAAAATAGGAATCGATAAGAATCGGAATCGATAAAATTCAAACGATACCCAACCCTACCCATGACCTTACTGTATATCCCACAATTCAAAAGTGATATCAACCACTTCTTGAGTCATTATATTACTTTTAATTAAATTAAAATAAAGCAATAAGCCCCGTGAAGCCGTGGTTTACAGTGAATTTATAACAGCTGTAAACCACAGCTTCACGGGGGTTATTGCTTTTATAAAACAGTTATTCCATATGCGTGGTAAGGTTTCACAAAATAAAACAGAGCAAATAAAGTGTAATGATATTAATAAAAACAGTATTCTTCCACCAAACAATGTAGCTCCTCAGAAACAGTTGTGGTTGCTACAAAGTTGTTGCCGAGCAACACACAAACGTAAACAAAGGTGTATGTTACTTTGTTACAGCTTTGAACATGGCTCAGCCAATCAGAATCAAGGACCGGAACTATCCGTTTTATGATATTAAATATAGTTAGAATTATTATCATTTATATCATTAAAAATAACTTGATTTATTACAAATATCAAAAATAGTGAAAATAGTGTACAAAAATCTGTAAAAATAAAAATATTGTACAAATAAATGAAAATTGATATCTACAACAATTTTTACAATCTACTTGAGTCTATATATTACTTCTAATTAAATATAATTAAAATATCTAAAAATGCTATAAAAAAAAAATTCAGCTTTGAAATCACAGGAATAAATTACATTTTTAAAATATATTCAAATAGAAAAAACATGTCACATTTTTTCTGTTTTACCTGTACTTTGTGTCAAATAAATGCAGGCTTGCCGAGCAGAAGAGACTTATTTAAAAAACATTAAAAATCATACTGTTCAAAAACATTTGACTGGTAGTGTATAATAAAAACAGTGTAAAAATTAATCGAGTGTACAAATAAATAAAAAGTGATCAATCACAATTTTTACATTCTGCTTGACTCATTTTATTACTTAAATATAACTAAAACATTAAATATAATTAGCATTAATACAATTATTTAATAATATTTAATCATGTAGGTTATACACATTGTATAATATATACACTGTACTTGTTACGTTACAAATTCTTACTACAGTAATAGCAGTAAATTATGCAGAATTACATGCAACTAACCCTAAACCAAACATAATCTTATAAGCACGTTGTTAATTAAAATTACTCACTACTTAAATGTATAATTACACTGTAGACTTATTCTACAAATAAAGTGTAACAAAGTAATAAAGTTAACTACTACCGTCAATCATTTTAATTATGCATGCTGTGGTTATTTTCTGATTATTAATCATTTGTTTTACATAAAGCACTTTTAATTATGATTGTGTCTGAAATGTGCTTTATAAATAAACGTGCCTTGTCATGCCCATTTGATTGGACTGCAGAAAGACATTTTCACAAAATTGGTTTAGAAATTCAGAATTAACAATGATTTTCTAGAAGATAAATGCACGCCACTGAATTAAACGTGCCGGAAAAACATTTTCATTACTTAAATAAACGTTAATTGAAATTAAATCTAAGAAAACTAGCTAGTTTACAAAGAAATTAGTTTAACTTGAAGCGCTAAAATAACTCAACTAAAATGGAAAAAATAAAAATTATAAGCATATTTAAATAAAAATGACAAAAACACACAAAAAATTAAAGTAAAAACAGAATATAAAAATGAATTCTAATTCAAAATATCAACAAAAACTATTTAACTTGAAGTACTAAAATAACTAAAATGAAATAAGCTAAAATTAAAAATATTTAAAAATTATAAGCATATTTGAATAAAAATGACAAAAACTATAAAAATATCAAAAACTCTTATAGTACATCAGTGATACCAGGATAACTCTCTTCACATGATTGTATTGACACTAGTGTGTGTGTGTGTGAGAGAGTGAGTGAGTGTTTGTGTGTGGGTGTGTGTGTGTGGGTAAGTGTGAGAGTGCATGTGTGTGTGAGAGAGAGAGAGAGTGTGTGTGTGAGAGAGAGAGGGTGAGTGTTTGTGTGTGTGTG